GGAGGTTGCTCTGAGCTGTGATGCCATAGCACACTACCCAGGAGGATAGCTTGAGGCTCTGTCTCAAAAAAAAAAAAAAAAAGTTTAATGAACCAGATTTATTCTTGAAAGCTCATTTCAGGAGACTTTCATTTAGCAATCTTAATTTCTTTTTCTCTATTTATATTGCTTTGTTCTTTTGCATGGGTGAGTGATTCTTACTGTGTGTGCTGAATAATTCTGGAGCATGAGCAAAAAGACTATTTTAAGAACAACATATATCTTAGTTCTTTGGTGAAGTGAATGTTTTTAAACCATTGTTAAGTTTGAGTCTAATTTTATGAAACTTTTTTGCTTTATCTCAATTGTAACTGTCAGAACAGTACTTTTTACTTGAAGGATTACACAGTTTCAAAGGTGAAATTGTTTTTGCTTCTAAAGTAAGATTCTAGATGTGTGACTTTTTGGCTTTATACTTTTTTTTTTTATTAAATCATTGGCTTTATACTCTTAATAGTTTTTCTTAGATATTGCAGAAGTAATGTTTTGAGCCTTCAGTTCTCGCTGCAGAGAAATTTTCTTTCTTTTTTTTTTTTTTTTTTTAAGACAGAGTCATTTGTCACCCTCTGTAGAGTGTTCTGGCATCACAGCTTACAGCAACCTCAAACTCTAGGGCTCAAGTGATTCTCTTGACTCAGCCTCCCAAGTAGCTGGGACTACAGGTGCCAGCCATGATGCCCTTCCCAGCTATTTTCAGAGATGGTGTCTCACTCTTGGTCAGGCAGGTCTTATATCTTTGAGCTCAGGCAGTCCACCCGCCTTTCCCTCTAGTGCTAGGATTACAGGTTTGAGGCACTGCTCCTGGTCTGGAGAGAAATTGTTCTTTTATACAGGAACCAGTGTGTGCTTTCATTTTTGAATGATTGGAAATAGACATTTCTGTTGTAGTGATTTGGGAGTTAAGGGGATGGCATGCTGACATAAAGGGGTCCATCTTTGAAAAGGAAGGTCTGTATTTTTTAATGTCTCAGGATCACATCTCTATAAAGTATTCATGGCCTTTTTTTTCCCTTCTGAGTTTTTATTGAGATATAATTTATATTCAGCAAAATGCACAGTTTAGTAAGTTTTAACAAATATATACATACCTATAGCCTATATGCCTGCCAGTGTAGAATGTAGCCATCAACCCAAAATGTCCTCCCTTGCTAACTCAGTTCCTGCCTCTTTCTCCACGCCCCCACTACCACAGTTCTACATTCTTTTAATACCTGGATGACTTTGCCTTTCTAAAACTTCATATAAATACATTGTATAACCTGTGATGTCTTGGTCTGCTTTATTTATTTATTTATTTATTTATTATAGTTTTGGGCCAGGGCTGGGTTTGAACCCGCCACCTTTGGCATGTGGGGCCAATGCCCTACTCCTTGAGCCACAGATGCTGCCTGCCAGTGTGCTATCTTTTGAAATATGGATTATTCTTTATAAAAAATTTTGAGTAATGTTCCATTGTATGAATCCAGTCTTCTTTTGATGGAAATGAGGGTGCTTCTAGTTTTTAGCTATTTATGAATAAAGTTGCTCTGATGATTAACCATTTTGTGAATATATGTACCCATTTCTCTTGGATAAAGAAGGAGCAGAATTGCTAGGTCATGTCAAACAGTTTTCCAAAGTGATTGAATTCTATTCCCATCATCAATTGTATGAGTTCTGGGTGCCGAACTCTGTATGAGTTCGGTTCTCACCAATGTTAGAAATTGTTCTTTTAAAATTTTAGTCATTCTAGGTGATGTCCATTAATAGTTTATTATGATTTTTAATTTGCATTTCTTTGATGTTTCATCATGTGGAGCTTTCACTGTGGGCATATTGACCATTATTATTATCTAAGTCAAATACCAAGAAGACTCTCTAAATTTAAAATGTTTTTTGGTGGGGGGAAGCAAGAATTGCAATTCATGGCATATACTCAGACTGAGTTGTCTTTGAATGTCTCAAAAACAAAGAGAAGAATATTTTATTTTAAAAAGAGAAATGTTGCATATTGCTCTTTTAAAAAGTCCTTTGGCACTTGTAAGATTTGGGGGAGCTGATGAGCTCTGATTGGTAAGTGATTGCAGTGGGTAAAGCTCGTCTTAGAGTCAGCAGGTTGTTTAGCAGCTATTAAATAAAACTGGATTCAGGTTACAGCAGGAAGTTTCACCAGTCAGGCTTGCAGAGAATTACACTCTTGGAGCAATGTTATGTGCCCTGGGTGCTTTTCCCCCAGCTTCCTGACTGTTTTAGTCAGGTATGACAAGAATGACCCAATTTGTATGATCAACTTTTACAACATGTTTTTCTTTGTAAAGTGCTCAACTTTGCCTGTTTTTGTGTTGAATTCTTTTTCTTATTGTGGATAAAATCTTTTGGCAGGTCATATATGCACCCAGAACAAATATATTCTTCAAGTATATGGCTTGACTATCCATATTCTTTTATTTCCTTTTTTTTTTTTTTCAGTTTTTGGCCGGGCTGGGTTTGAACCCTCCACCTCCGGCATATGGGGCTAGCGCTCTACTCCTTTGAGCCACAGGCACTGCCCTCTTTTATTTCCTTTTTTGAGATAGAGGCTTACTCTGTTACCCAGGCTAGAGTACAGTGGTACCTTTATAGCTCACTGCAGCCTCAAACTCCTGGGCTAAAGTGATCATTCAGTTGTAAGTCAACAAATATTTCATGAAGAGTAGTTTTTACAAGATGATGTTAGGTTTTTTAAAGAGACAGAGTCTCATTATGTCGCCCTCGGTAGAGTGCTGTGGTGTCACACACAGCTCACAACAACCTCCAACTCTTGGGCTTAAGTGAGTCTCTTGCCTTAGCCTCTCAAGTAGCTAGGATTAAAGGTGCCCACCATAATGCCCAGCAATTTTTTTGGTTGCAGTTGTCATTGTTTAGCTGGCCCAGGCGGGGTTTGAACTCGCCAGTTTCGGTGTATGTGACTGGCACCTTACCCACTGAGCTACGGGTGCTGTCAGGTATTTTATCAATAAAATTCTTCTTGTCTGTCAAGCTAGTATGGAAACCAAATCAAAATAATTGTGAACTAAGAGATAATGTAAACATAGGTGTCACATAAAAATGTAGGAATCCTCAATCAAAGAGCATACATTTAAAATTTTGGTAGATATTACTAGATTATTTATCAGAAAAAGATTGTATTAATTTATACTTCTCCATTAGTAGATATTCTCATGAATTCCTATTTCCTGATATCCTTATCAACACTGGATTTTATATATACTTTTTGTTCTTTGCCAGTCTCATTAGTAAAATGGTAACTTATTGTTTCAAAAATCATCGTTGAAATTGAACATTTCTGTGAACTGCCTAATCATGTTCTTTGTCTAGTTGTCTTGCTTTGGTTCTATTTTTGAATTGTTAGGAAGTCTTTGCTTTTAAAAGAAATCAGTGCTTTCACAATTTGCAATTTTTTTTTTTCACATTTGCCTGTCTTTTGACTATGGTCAGATTGATCACCTTGGTCTCTTATGACTTGTGAATTTTTAAATTGAAAAATAATCTTAAAAGTGAATGCAAAGAGAAAAAGTGACTCTAGTAGTATTTCACATGACAGTTGAAGAGGAATAAAATCTAATCCAAGTAATTTTTAATCACAATATTTTGACTTTGTACCTCTGTACAGAGAAAAGAAAAGCAAACAGATATTGACTCTTACATTTGTGGTTTGTCCTGTTCATTGTAGTGAAACATTTTGTGTGTGTTTTAAGGTTGATTAAATAAGTGTTCCTTTGTTACAGCATATCTGCAGTACAAAATATAATAGTTATCAACACATGAGCTAATTGCATACATTGTAGAACTATAGTTAGTAATCTATAATTACGTGAATCCTTAAATATATCATTTTACTATTATAAATTTTAATTATGATATGAACTGTTTAAGTGTAGTTACATAAGTAGTCTTTGTAACTCATTATTCATAGTTTTTTAGTCACAACTTAAAGGAAAGCAGTGGTGTGGCACTGTGGTTTATGCCTATAGGCACTATCCTAGCACTTTGGAAGGCCATGGAGATGGGAGGATCACTTGAGTCCAGGGGTTCGAGGCCAGCCTGGGCAAGAGTGAGACCTTCTTTCTACAAAAAGTTCTTAAATAATTGGCCAATGTGGTGGTGTACCTGTAATCCCTGCTACTCAGGAGGCTGAGTCAGGAGGATTGCCTGAGCCCAGGAGTTTGAGGTTGCAGTGATCTATGATGATGCCAGTGCACTGTAGCCCAGGAGAGAGAGAGAGAGAAACAACTGAGACCCTGTCTCATAAAACAAATGATAGCAACAATAATATCAACAAAAATAGTAAGATTTTACCTTGGGTAGCAGTTAGAATGAAGCCTTTTACAGTGACAAGTTCCTTTTAAAAGGAACTCCATATTCTATTTTGAGAATTCTAACTCTGATTTTTGTTTGATTTGTTTATTTTTGTTTTTGGAGACAAAGTCTCATTCAATTACCTGGGTAGAGTGGCATGGCATCATCATAGCTCACAGCAACCTCAAACTCCTGGGCTCAAGTAATACTCTTGCTTCAGCCTTCCAAATAGCTGGGACTACAGGAGCCTGCTACAATGCCTGGCTACTTTTTTCCTATTTTTATTAAAGTTGGGGTCTCTTGCTCTTGCTCAGGCTAGTCTTGAGCTCCTGAGCTCAAGCAACTCACCTGCCTTAGTCTCGTATGCTAGGATTACAGGCGAGAGCCACTGCGCCTGGCTTCGTTTGATTTATTTTTTCTAATACTTGTTGATGCCAGAGCTTTTGACTCTTTTGAGTCATGATATGTATGATATATGAAATGTAACCCGAAATAAAATGAAAGAGTATTTTTAAAGGTGGGTTGTGGAGGAAAACTTTTTTATTTTGTAAATACAAAATTAAATGTTGTACTGTAATATTGGTGGTGTTTTGTGCTTTGGTTGGTGTTAGGTGACTCCACCAATTTTTTTTCTCTCTGTGTAGGTGTAATGGATAGGTAACAGAGAAGACCTTGTCAGGGCATCAGCATGACCGAGTGCTTCCTGCCCCCCGCCAGCAGCCCTAGTGAACACCGCAGGGTGGAGCATAGCAGCGGGCTCACCCGGACCCCCAGCTCTGAAGAGATCAGCCCTACTAAGTTTCCTGGATTGTACCGTACTGGTGAACCTTCACCTCCCCATGACATCCTCCACGAGCCTCCTGATGTAGTGTCTGATGATGAGAAAGACCATGGCAAGAAAAAAGGAAAATTTAAGAAAAAGGAAAAAAGGAGTAAGTTCCATTTTTGCCTGTGTTTTAGATATATTTTAGATAAACTTCCATTGTAATCCATGTACCAGCTGTCTTCTGGAAGCTTGTCAACTCAGAGACTCTGGTTTGATTTTCTTTTCTTTGTTTTTCAGGGTCTCAGTATAGAAGAGTTGCATTTTAGAATCTTAATCTCACAAATAAAAATACTGAGTTTCCAGAAATGGCACAGTTTTGCAGTGACTATTTCTTGAAATGATCATTTAAAGTAATATATATAAAAATTATTATTAATATTGGAATTTTGGCCTTGTAGAAACTTACTCTCTTGGGCAAGTTGGGTACACTTTTTTGGAACCTTTCATAAAGTAGGTATTCATTTTCTTAAGTAAATGTCATGATGCATTCCATTTATAGGTCCTATTTGGTAGAGAGGATGAATCATTTAAGAATAGCTATTTAGTCGATTTAGTCGGGTGGCTCCTGTGGCTCAAGGAATAGGATGCCGGCCCCATATACCAGAGGTGGCAGGTTCAAACTCGGCCCTGGCCAAAAACTGCAAAAAAAAAAAAAACAAAACAAAAACAAATAAGATAAGTTATTTTAAGTATTCCTTTATTTTGGTCTTTGTGATATTTTTATGTTATTTTTGAAGCATATAGACAGATATAGATAGATAACATAGAGCACACAAATTGTGTGCAACTTGATAAGTGGATATGCCTGTGTTAACTACTAAAAGGATTTGGAAATAGAGCATTTTCAGCACCCTAGAAATTCTCTTTTGCTGCCTTTCTAAAAGGAATGCCTCAACTCTCCCGAAAGTAAGTGCTGCCTGATTTTGAACTTAATTTAAATGAAATCATATTTCTTTTTACATCTAGTTTCTTTTGTCCAATATTATGTGTTAAAAGAAAATCTTTAGACAAATTAAATTTAGCAGAGTTTAAGCAAAGCATTCTCAAATTGGCAGCCCCCAGAACCTGACAAGGTTCACAGTGACTCTGTGACTGCCACATGGTCAGATAATATTTATGGACAGAAAAAAGGAAAGTGAGGTACAGAAAAAGCTGGATTAGTTATAGCTCAGTGTTTCCTTCTGAACACAATTTGAATGGCTGGCTGCCTTTGGCCAAAATTCTGTGTACAAGAGTAGGTTACGGTCTGTTTACATATCTAGTTAGGTTATAGTTCATTATGTAGGAGAAACTTTTAGACCAAACTTAAAATATATAAGAAGGCAGTTTTAGCTTAATTTAACATATGTTTGTTAGATTTATTCATGTTAGTCCATGTAGCAGTAATTCGTTCATTTTTTTGCGGAATATTGTTTCATTGCACTAATATGCTAGAGTTTATCCTTTCTACTGTTGTTGCTTATTTGCACTGTTTCCAGTTTTTGACTACTATGAGTAGTGCTTCTATGAGCATTGTCACACATCTTTTGGTTTATATGTTTATGCATTTCTGTTACATATGTGCCTAGGCAGTGGAACTGCTTGCTTATAGGCTGTATTTCAGCTTTAGTAGATCCTGTAAAACAGTTTTCCAGGGTGGTTGTGCCAGTTTACATTCTTATCATCAGTGAATGAGAATTTTAGTTGCTTTATGTCATGATATTTTGCCTTTAAGTTCTTTGGTTTTTTGTTTTTGTTTGTTTGGGAAACTAATTCTCATTCTGTAGCCATGCTGGAGTGCAGTGGTCTGATTGTAGCTTACTGTAATCTCCAATCCTGGGTTCAAGCAATCCTCTTGGCACAGCCTCCTGAGTAGCTGGGACTACAGGTGTGTGCCATCATCCGTGGCTAATTTTTTAATTTTTTTGTAGACACAGGGTCTTGCTGTGTTGCCTAGACTGGTCTTGAACTCCTGGGCTCAAGTGATCCTCCCTCTTCTGCCTCCCAATGTGCTGGGCTTAAAAGCAAGCCACTGTACCTGGCCTGCTTTTAAGATTTTTGCCATTCCAGTTGGTATGGTGTTCATGGTATTTTAATTAGAGGGTAAGATATGAAATATCTTTAATCTTTGTTATAAAACAGCTTGAAAGATTTGGAATTAAAAAAATAACAGCTTCGTAGCTACCTAGCTAAGGAAAAGAATTAGGAGCGCTATACATGATGTCTCAAAGATCGACAAATATACATATGAGAAATGGAAAATTATAGCTAAGTGTACCTTTATTTACAAAGTACTCATTACAAAATTTTACAAAGAGGTGGCCAACACATAGAGCACTGATGTTCAATCAGTGTGCTGCGAGGCGTTCTTAGGTGTGCCTTGAACATTTTTAAAGATCATAAATTATTTTTGAAAGAAGTTCAGAGCACAGAAAGTATATTCTTTTTAACTTTTTTTTTTTGATCAACATAATTTAAGTCTGCCACAGAAGTTTAACTATAGGTTCAGGTATGGCATGATATAAAAATGTTGAAAAATACTGATGTAGAGAATATTTTGTAAAATTTTGTAATGAATATTTAGTAAATAAAAGTACATTTAGCTAAAATTTCCCTATGCATGGTGAGTTTAGAGACAACTTTTGGGACACCTTGTAGATAACGCAAAACAAAATAAAACTGTGACTACTTTGATGTGGTTTTAAAGCAATTAGGCACTTTTGTCAGTGTGTAAAATCCAGACCTTCTGATATAGGAAAGTAATCTGCCAGACGCCATATCCAAAGATGGGGGAATTTCAAAGGTCAGTCCTTTACTCAAATAAGGCTGCAGTCCCTGCTGTGATCTCCAGAAAGAACTTAACAGTTTTTGACAGGAGGGTGAAGTATAATAACTAAAGAAAGAACTGAAGCATATAAACAGTGCAGTAGTGCAGTTTTGTGTCATGCTTTGCAATTGCCTCAAGTAGCAGGTACCAAATAGGATAAAGATAGGCAAAGTAATTATAGTCTCGAATCTGAAAATACAAAATGCTCCCAAATCTGAAAAATCTGTCATTTTTTGAGCACTCAACATGACACTCAAAGGAGATAATCATTGAGGCATTTCAGGTTTCAGATTTTCAAATTAGGGATGCAGAACTCATATAATGCAGATATTCCAAAATCCTGGAACATCCAAAATTTCAGAACATTTCTTATGTCAAGAATTTCAGGGAAGGGATACTAACCCTGTAATTTGTTGAGGGACATGATTCATATGATAAAATGATACTTACTCTATCTTATGGAAAGAACAACTCCATTATTTCTCTATGTAGACCTTTTCGTGTGTATTTATAATATTTAGTTTGCCAAAATTCCACTTATACATACGTACCTGTATAATGTAAAACTAGTTTCCTCACCTTATAGTATAAGTGTGATAACTGTCAGCTTCTTGTTGCCCTCTTGTGGCCAGGATATGTTGCTGCAACATCTCTTTTTAGCTGAGAAGAAAAACATTTCTCTGTTGGAAAAGCCCAGGAGGGTAAAGCCAGATAGCTAGTGCCAGGTGGCACTATTATTTGATTGTGTTCTCAGAAAACCCATGGATAGTTTGACACTAAACAAACATATAACTTAGACTGTATATATTCCTTTGGCAGCTGAAGGCTATGCTACCTTTCAGGAAGATAGCTCTGGAGATGAAGCTGAAAGTCCTTCTAAAATGAAGAGGTCCAAGGGAATCCATGTTTTTAAGAAGCCCAGCTTTTCTAAAAAGAAGGAGAAGGATTTTAAAATAAAAGAGAAACCCAAAGATGAAAAGCATAAAGAAGAAAAGCACAAAGAAGAAAAACATAAAGAGAAGAAGTCAAAAGACTTGACAGCAGCAGATGTTGTTAAACAGTGGAAGGAAAAGAAAAAAAAGAAGAAGCCAATTCAGGAGCCGGAGGTGCCTCAGGTTGATGTTCCGAATCTCAAACCCATTTTTGGAATTCCTTTGGCCGATGCAGTAGAGAGGACCATGATGTATGACGGCATTCGGCTGCCGGCAGTTTTCCGTGAATGTATAGATTACGTAGAGAAGTATGGCATGAAGTGTGAAGGCATCTATAGAGTTTCAGGTATTGGGGACACGTACTTGGTGGTTTTCTAAAATTAACTTCACTTTCGTATTTCAAAGAAGGAAAAATATTAACTTGAGTAGAAAATTTGGCTTGAGCCCTAAGCCTTACTGATTTCCTTCATCCTTCCATTTGCACAAAAATCCTCACCCACTCCTCTTTTTGTGTTTGGGCAGTTTCATTTTTTATGATATTTCCTTCTGTTAGGCAGATTCACACCTTAGTGGTTCATAGCTTGCAGCAGCCAGGACTGGGACAAAGTGAAGCATATGGGTAGTATCTTTTTTTTGAGACAGAGCCTCAAGCTATCCCTCTGGGTAGAGTGCTGTGGCTTCACAGCTCACAGCAACCTCCAACTCCTGGGCTCAAGTGAGTCTCCTGCCTCAGCCTCCCAAGTAGCTGGGATCATAGGTGCCTACCACAACGCCCGGCTATTTTTTGGTTGCAGCCGTCGTTGTTTGGCGGGTCTGGGTTGGATTCGAACCCGCCACCTTAGGTGTATGTGGCTGGCGCCTTAGCCACTTGAGCCACAGGCGCTGAGCCATGGGTAGCATCTCTTATCAGGACATGTGTTCAGATACACATGCTTTTTCTTTCCTTTTCTTCCCTGTCTCAGCAGAGGCTCAGTGGTGTGAGGGCTGTCAGCAAGAAAAGGAAAGATGACTGTGTGAAGGAATCTTCTGGGCCAAGAGGCACATTTGTTGATGTAGTCACATAGTGCATTTCCGGAGCTCAGCTAAGAGGCATGAAGTGGTTTTTTTGAAGGTGCACCACTCTTGTGCTACTAAGATATCAAGTTGATGCCTGGAGTGGACTGAGTGAGCTCCTATTCCAGCTTCCTGTTCTAAAACTCCATTTGATATATTGTCCTTGGATTAGAGGACATATCTGATATTAAACTGATAGAAACTACTACACTTGATTTTCACTAAAAGGCTGAAAACCAATGAAGTGTTCCTTTCCAAATGTTTATGCCCCAAATGTGAATGCTTCTGTTAGCCACATGCAGCTATTTCATGTTATTGAAATGGATTTTACATTTATCTTCATCCTATGTCTACATAAATTTAAGTTTCATACTTAAAGAAGGTGTTTCATATTGGGTACCTAAAATCAAGCAAAATGTTTATTACTTAAAAGTAAGAATATTTTTTTCTTTCTTTTTTTTGAGATAGAATTCCAAGCTGTTGCCCTAGGTAGAGTGCCGTGGCGTCAAGAGTTCACAGCAACCTCCAACTCTTGGGCTGAAGTGATCCTCTTGCCTCAGTTTTTCTATTTTTAGTAGAGATGGGGTCTTACTTTTGCTCAGGCTGGTCTTAAACTCCTGAGCTCAAGCAATCCACCTGCATTGGCCTTCCAGAGTGCTAGGATTACAGGTGTGAGCCACTGTACTCTGTCAAGTAAAAATGCTTCTTACTAGGCAGTACAACTTTTGTACCAGTATAGGATGAAAGTCCTGACTGGAAGCAGCATCTGTATTCCCAATCATTACATTCCCATTCTTCACTTTCTTAGTACGTCATCAACTTCTGTTTAGAGATGTATTTTATAAAACTGTCAGTCACACTTATTTTCATGATGAGTTGTTAAACCATTCACATTAGAATATATAGAGAGATTAGACTTAGTTTTTCCATTTAATTAGTCCATACACAGTTCTTTAAGGTTGATTTGATACTTAAATTTTGTTGAGAAAAAGCAGATATTTTTGATAATTAGGAAAACTTTTACAAAAGTCCAGTAGATTCCATGTTCTCATTTAAGAGTATTTTGGCTCAAATGCTACTATTTAAAAGAAAATAAATCAGGCATTAAATTTAAGTTTATAACTTTTTTTTTTTTTTTTAAGCGATAGAGTCTCACTTTCTTGACCTCGGTAGAGTGCTTTGGTGTCATAGCTCATAGCAACCTCCAACTCCTGGGCTTAGGCAATTCTCTTGCTTCAGCCTCCCGAGTAGCTGGGACTACTGGTGCCTGCCACAATGCCCGGCTATTTCTTGTTGCAGTTTGGCCAAGGCTGGGTTCGAACCTGCCACCCTCTGTATATGGGACCAGCGCCCTACCCACTGAGCCACAGGTGCCACCAGTTTATAACTTCTTTGTATTAACATAAAACCAACACATTTAAATGAATTTGAAAATTTGCTTTTCAAAAATTTATGCAAATTGATTCTTAAAAGTTTAAGCATTAATAACATAAGCTGCTTCTCTCATGATCTTGATAGGCATAAAGAAATTTTTAGTTAAGGTTTCTCTGAAAAGTTTCTACAGCTTTGTTTGAAGGATTCTTTTGTCTCTGACCTATTTTTGCTGTTTGAATTCTATTGGAAATTCAGAGTTGTGGAATCCTTTATTTGTGTATAAAGACATTCAGACTTTTACTCTGAGGGACTGAGCTCTTGCTTTGATGAAGTTTTTTTTATTCTTTAATCTGTGGTTGTGCTAAGCAGCATACCTTGTACTGTAGTTATGGCCAAGATTTTTTTTTTTAATGTATTCTTTGGGCATTCCCCATAACAAATTTTATTTGTCATGTTGCAGTTTTCCAACATTTGTATATCTATTAAATAGAAGCTACTAGTACCTCCTTTTATTTAGTTTTGGATGTTTATCTTCAGAATTGTCAGTAAATTTATATTCTGAAAGCAGAATATAGCCTCTGATGCTAATTACAGTTTAGTGTAATTCCACAATCATTTCTGATGAGTCTTTTCTTTTAGAATGGTAATAATCTGTTTTTTTGCTAGAGATTTTGATTCTCATTTATTCATATATTAGTTCTAATTTTAAAACTAATACAAAGACAGTGTGAGTGGCTTTATACATTTTAACTTACTTGTGTATGTTTTATACCTTTTGCATTAACGGTATGCTCCTGTATGCGCTTTCTCTTTTTCCCTGAACGGCTTTACTTGGAGTGTATGGTTTTTTTTTTTTTTTTTTTTTGAGACAGAGCCTCAAGCTGTCCCCCTGAGTAGAGTGCCGTGGCATTATAGCTCACAGCAACCTCCAACTCCTGGGCTCAAGCGAGTCTCCTGCCTCCGCCTCCCAAGTAGCTGGGACCACAGGCGCCCGCCACAACGCCCGGCTATTTTTTTTTTTTTGGTTGCAGCCGTCATTGTTGTTTTGGCGGGTCCGGGCTGGGGATTCGAACCCGCCACCTTAGGTGTACGTGGCTGGCGCCCTAGCCCGTTGAGCTATAGGCGCCGAGCCGGAGTGTATGGTTTTTTAAAGGAAACATTTTAGTAATTTTAGAGTAACAGCAAACCGAACACACATTCTCATAGTCCATTTGTGCAATTTGCTGAGGGGAAAAATTAAATATATATGAGAAAGAGAGAAGGTCTTTGCCAGGAATTTCAGTTAAAGTTGTTGCTCATGTTTTACTCACACTATGATAAAAATAAGAAAGTGGGAATTATTTTCTAACTTTTCTATCTTAAAGATCATGCAAAAATAAATTCCTATTGTTATTTTTTTATTTGGTGCTATTGGTTTTATTTTGTCAATGTTGGTAAGTAAAAAGATTTATTGTAATGCCATTAAATGAGGAATGCCAAAGCCCAGATGTAAGCACTATCGTGATTGTAAATGCTGTCACATTAGATGACATTTACCATTAGAAACTGCCAGCCTTAATTTGTGGCCTAAACAGTTGGTCTAAGTGTAACAAAAAAAGTTACTTGGTGTTTTCTGAGCTATGAGGCTATCGCTGAATTACACTATTTAATGCACACTGGACTAAAGACTTAAATTTACATAATACATAATGTTTGGATAACATTTCCTTTGTGTGTTAGAGTATCTTTCTGTTCAATAAAAAAAAAAAATTTGATTTTAGAAACCCAAACTTTATTTTTTGTTCCAGTTTTGTTTAGATTAAGGAAACACTTAAAGAATCCAAACTTTAATATAGATTGTAGTTGGGGACTAGCTAATGGAGGATAATTTTCAAAGAGTTTTGTTTAGATTAACTTTCCTTTTACAGTTGCAGTTTTTACTTATAAAAAGGCAGTTTACCCACAAATTTTGGGAAGATATGTTACTAAGTTACACGTTATATTTTCAGTCTTGTGAGTAGTTTTAAAAAGTAGTTGGTTGGGCAGTGCCTATGGCTCAAAGGGCACTAGCCCCATATGCTGGAGGTGGCAGGTTCAAACTCAGCCCTGGCCAAAAAAAAAAAAACAAAAACAAAAACGTCGGTTGCATGTGTAGGACAAGACTTATACTTGGATTGTAGTTTAATTTTTGCCTCAGTATTTACCTAGCTACCTTTAAATTTAAAAAAAAAACCCTAATTTTCCCAAAACAATTGGCATATTTGTTTAAAACATTTACGTTTGCTGTGTTTTGTTTTGAATTTTCAAATTTTCAGTTGTTAGCCTTTGGTTAAGTGAGTGTTTATAGAGGAATTATATGACCCTTGTGCAGATAAGTAATTCATAAGAAGAGGTTTGTCCTTCTTGGTCAGGTGGCTGTTCTTGGATCTCCCCGGCAAAGGTGAGTATACAGAGAAAGGAAATTTAGGTGTTTGATTTTTTTTTATTGTTCTCTCTTTTTTGAATTTAAATGTTTGAAGGAATTAAATCAAAAGTGGATGAGCTAAAAGTAGCTTATGACCGAGAGGAGTCTACAAACTTGGAAGAGTATGAGCCTAACACTGTAGCCAGTTTGCTGAAGCAGTATTTGCGAGAACTTCCAGAGAATTTGCTTACCAAAGAGCTTATGCCCCGATTTGAAGAGGCTTGTGGTAGGACCTCAGAGAGCGAGAAAGTGCAGGAATTCCAGCGCTTGCTGAAAGAACTGCCGGAATGTAACTATCTTCTGATTTCCTGGCTCATTGTGCACATGGACCATGTCATTACAAAGGAACTGGAAACTAAAATGAATATTCAGAACATTTCTATAGTGCTCAGTCCAACTGTTCAGGTACGTGGTCTTCCCTTCACTGTCCCCTCTGGTTCTGACACTGGTAGGTGGAGGAGGACACTTCCATCACTGAGTCACAAGTGAAGCAATTAACTGGGGAAGGTAGATAATGGATTCTCTTGACTGTAGGTGTCTTTCACAATGTGGACAGCGTTGACATGTAATATGACAAGCATAGTTTAGCCTGTAGGTATGTAATTTGAATGTAATATAGTCTTTGCTGTGGGTTTATAAACAAGTTCCTGATCACAATGTTATATGATTACCAGAGGGAGGAGCAATTGAGAGTTCATCTGTACTAGGATTTTAAAGATGTTAGTTATTTCATCAGATAGCATTATTGCTTAGTTATACCCATGCACATCAAACTCAGGCAAAAATGGGCCTAACATTAATTTGTTTTGTCAGAACTTTACCTTGAGAATTTCTTTGGTGGAGTTGGATCCTGGAGAGGTTTATTGTAGGCTCTTAGTCCAGAATGTGTTCCAGGGAATTGAGTAGTGTGTGTTAGTGTCTTTTAACAACATAAATACTTGGCTTTTCTTGATTGCTGCTCAGTTGGTGGTGTCATAGAGTATATGTTTTCCTTTAATTGGAGATACTAATATTTTACTTGGGCCCCCCCCCCATAAAAAAGATGATCACTTTTTCGGCCTGTATTCTAGGCTACCATAAATCATTGTCAATGTTATTAGAGCGTGTTTTCATTTACTAAAGATTCTTTCATTGCTCTTTGATTATATTTGGATGCTAAATATTTCTCAGACTTCAATTTCATTCATGTTAGTTGGGGTTTCTGAATCTGGTAAATAGTAATTACATTGGTAATATTACTTTAATAGGAATGATAGTATCATAGAATATTCAAGTGTGTTATAAGAGTAAGTTTTAGGTAGGAAATAATTTTTTTATTAGGTTTACAGCCAACCTCATCTGAGTCTCCTAGCACATGAGTGCCCAGCTTTGTAACCACAAATGCTCTCATTTCTCTTATAGTCCTGTTAAAAGGTCTCAAAATAAGTTGTAAATAAGAAACATAAGATGTTTTAATTAGCTAATATTGTAGTGATAGAAAAGAACAAATTGGTCACCCACGCCTCCATCTTTTTCTTGGCTTTTTCTCTCCTTTAATTCCTTATGGTGCTTGAGTATGTGATTAAAGTCATATTTTGCCATATTCTTCTTAAGTTGGCCACCAATTAGCAAAGCCTGTATTGTCACTACTTGGTAGAATTTCCCTTCATGTGGCCAGTATTAAAGGATGCACTATGTGATAGACAGAAATAAATGAAATAAAAATGGTAATTTTAATAGGTTTCTTATAAATCTTTTAATTTCTTTCTTAGATCAGTAATCGAGTCCTGTATGTGTTTTTTACACACGTGCAAGAACTCTTTGGAAATGTGGTTCTAAAGCAAGTGACAAAACCTCTGCGGTGGTCTAACATGGCCACGATGCCCACACTGCCAGAGACCCAGGTTGGCATCAAGGAAGAGATCCGGAGACAGGTGTGTGCCCTTGACCCCCGCCCACACAGTCTGCTCGCACAGTCTGCCCCTTCATGGCCGCACTGGAGGCAGTGATCGGCTCTTGCTTACAAAGCACTTTCTATGTGTCTGGACCTATGTTAGGCATGTTCTTCACAGTATGCTGAAGTCAGAAATTACCATTTGGTGCTATCTCATGGCAAAGAATTCAGAATATCATGGTGAAAAGAGCATAGTTTTCTAATAAAAAAGAATTTTGCTCTGCTCCTAATTAATAACTAGTTTTAGGCAAGTTGCTTAACTTTCTTAAGCCTTGGTATTCTCATTTTAAAATGGACCCTCTCATAGGGTTGATGTGACAGTTACCACAAATGAGATAAGGCATGATACATGCCGGGCATAGTGTAGACAGTCCATAATTGTTTGCTTATCTGACAAGATTGCTGTCATCAGCCGTGGTTTACAGATAAGAGTTGAGGGAACTTAAATAACTTACTGTGTGTCACATGAGTGTGAAGCTACAGAACCACGTTTTGAGCCCCAAATTTGGGCTTTTTCAACATGCTACTTTGACATGAGAAGCACTGCCATGTGTTAGGGGGTCAACAGAATAAAAAATTCAAGACTAAGAAGTTTAATGATGTTAGATTATTTATTTGTAGGCATATTATCAAAGCCTTCTGGCTTTCCTTCCCTTTCATCTGCTCTGAGCTCCCATTTCTTCTTAGTTGATGGTGTTGGGGAGAAGGTATGAATAAACTGTCAGTGAACTATTAAAAGTATAAGTGTACTGAGTACCTAATTCTCAGGCAACAAATAATAAGGATTGTTTTTCAGTCATGTCCTTGAAAACATAACTAATGCCATTATTTCACTCTAATGAAATAAAGGATAATTGAAAAATAGTTGATTCCACATCTTAAGAAATCATGCGTGGTGTTAGCTTAACATAAGACATAGAATGCTATTTAGTGTGTGGCATTGCTTTCCAGGAGTTTCTTTTGAATTGTTTACATCGAGATTTGCAGGGGGGGATAAAGGATTTATCTAAAGAAGAAAGATTATGGGAAGTACAAAGGATTTTGACAGCCCTCAAAAGAAAACTAAGAGAAGCAAAAAGGCAGGTGAGTTCTATCTGTTATTTTGGTACAGTATGTTCATGATAGTATATAAAAGAATGTGCCATAGACTTTCATGT